TGCTCACCTTTTAATTGAGTTGGTTTTTTATGTGTTGTAATATTTCATTATATATTCTGGATATAAGTCCTTTAATGATTTGCAAATATTTTCTCCCATTCTGTGAATTGTCTTTTACCTTTCTTGGTGGTGTACTTTGCATAGATGTTTCTAATTTTGGTGAAGTCCATTTGATCTATTTTTTTTTTTATTTAATTGTGTTTTGGGTGTCCTAAGAAATCACTGCCTATGGTAAGGTTTTCTCCTATTTTTTTTTTCTAAGAGTTTTATAGTTTTTACTCTTATATGTAGGTGCTTGATCCATTTTTAGTTCATTTTTATGTATAGTATGAGGTAGGCATCCAACTTCACTTTTTTGCATGTGGATATCCAGTTATCAGCTACTAGTTGTTGACTTCTCAATGTTAAGCATCTTTTCATGTGCATTGACCAATTGTTTATCTTCCTTGGAGAAATATCTACTTAAATCTTTTGCCCACTTTTGGAGTTGTGTTTTTAAGAGTTGTAAGATTTTGATTTGTATTTCCTTACTGATGATATGCCAGGTGCTATTCTAGATTCTGAGGAAACAGAAGTAAATGGGACGTAGTATACCTGTTGCCTCTCAGGGAGCTTACCCTCACGGGTGAGGGTGGAGATCACATATAAATAGAAAACAACCAGGGTGAAATAATGTGTGTGCGATGCCTAACACTGTGCCTGGCCCCCGGAGTGTGCATAGCAAAAGGTAGCTTCAATAATAATAATAACAGCTATCATTGTTATTATAAATGCCAGTACAGAGATGTGTGCAAAGTGCTGTGACAGGAGGGAGTGACTTGCGCTTGTCTCAAGATTGGCTTCACATAGGTCCACCCCCCGGCACCTCTGGGGCCCAGGAAGGGAGTAGGGGAGGTGCAGGCATAGGGCTCTAAAAGACCAACCTTTCATGAGTGTGTGTGGTATGTGTGTCATGGAAACAGCTGGTTTTCTTGTCTCTGTGTCAACTCGGAATAAGGATTGTGATTGGCAATTCCCATCCCGGTCTGTACATAAGAAGAAATGGCTTCCTTCATTTGTTTGTAGAAGATCTTGACAGGCTTTGGAGGGAAGCTCAGAGGCCGAGAGTAAATAATAAAATGTTTCTAAATAGCTTACCTGGGCACATTATCTTAAATATGACATAATTAGAACTGAAAGTCTCTGTTCCTTGGGGATAACATAGTGTGTCCTCAAACTGAACTTCAGAGTATACAGCAATGGCGGTTTTTCATGTGGAAATTATCGTGCTCTGCAAAATATCAAAAACTGTTCATTTAATTTCATCATATGAACAAATTATCTTAGTGGTAGGGAGTATGGCTGTATTATATGTATTCCAGGGTTCACATTACAAAAAAAAATCCAATTATAGGAAACAATTTTAAGAAATCACTTTTCCAAGGCTTTTCATTATACTAGTCATTTGTTTTGTCATCTGCTAGTACATGTTAGCAGAAAAGTGAGAATCAGTGCCATAAGTTAAGAAAAAGGTGTTAGAAATGAAAAACTTTAAATTGAGCACATTCTAACAATTAATATAATCTATTTTAAGCTACAAAGTACTTTGGCCCAACTGGGTAGGATGTAGTTGTTTCCAGGAAGGATAATTTTAGAATCACTGATTCAGGATTTAAATTTTAATTTAAACATACTATTATATTTTATCAAAAAATAAAGGCTTTCTTTAGTATCCAGTTTTAATATCACTTATTGTATAAATTATGAGTTTTTATTCAGCCTTTGGTTCATCAGGCACTGATTGGCTGTCCGATATATGGAGGGAACCTTATTTAAGTATATGATCGTTTGTTCTAAAGTAGTTCATGATCTGAGGAGGAAATGCTGTCTAGTGTAGGACACATACATTGCTAGTTACAGGAAGTAGCAATTTGTGATAAATGCTGAAATAGAGAGGTTGGTTCAGATTCAGAGTGGGGTAGATCTGGGGGAGCTTTCTTGGAGAGCTGGTACCTGGGCTAGAGCTCAAAGTTGGCGGTAGGGGAGATGGCGGCAATGGGGAAGAGAAATCGAGGAAGTGGTAGTAACCTGGTACACATGGAGTGTAGAATGATTGGGGGATGTAGCAGCGCACACAGTTAGACAGGGAAGAGCCATATTGTGGAATCTTGATGGTATTATACCAAACTAATGAGCCTGGACTTGATTCTGTAAGCAGTAGGGAGCCATAGAGGGTTTTTGAGGAGAGCTGTAACATAATCAGATCAGTACAGAAGTAGGCTGAAGGTTAGGTTGAAGGCGGGGAAGAAATTAGAGACCATTCTTGGGTGATACGAATGCCATCTTTCCAATTTTGTTTTAGTTTAAAAACTCCAAGGGGTAGCTATCTTATGATTTCAGATATTTGATACAGAAGTTTATTTACATTTTTTTTTTTTTTTTTTTTTTTTTTTTTTTTT